ACAATACCATCGTATGTTACTTTACACACTCACTTTATTGAGGTGTGTTGTCCGCACTACTCCGAGATATTAAGCAGGAATTATGCTTACTAAGCGTTTTCCGCGCTCACTTTATTTTCATTTAGCTTAAGTTAATTTTTGTAAGATAATATTAGTCAGTTCTAATTTGAATAAAGTAAGGTGAAATCGCATTTAGCGGCTTCCCCAATAAACCCAAAAGAGTTTTAATTTCATGGCGATCCTGCAAAAAAAAAAAAACTAAAATTTATAAAGTGGTGCACCATGTATAATGTGATTTGGATAATCTATATATATTAAACACTTAAACTATGGGCCGACAATACGGACCGGGCGAGCTCGTAAATTATTAATAGAAAAGAGAAAGAAAAAGGCATCGAATTTGTTAAAAAAAGACAAAGAAACAAGTGAATGATACAGAAAGCAACGGCTCTAAAAAAAAACAACTAATGAAATTTTATGTCAACACAATTATAAAATACAATTTTCAAGTAACAAAACAGTAAAGAATGGCGCCTAAAGCGTGTAAATTAATTAAACATACATGTTCGTTAGCTTGTTTCGCTACAACTGCCACTGTGATGTTGGCGCAACGAAAACCAATGCAAACGTTGCCTACTAATGGCAAAACATCAATACATTATCGCAAATCAATTCATTTGGAATTCCGTCTTAATTCCGTCTTAATCGCAAAGATTCCTGGCTACAGCTCAACGAAGTAGCGGAACTTTTAAACTTGGAGTTAGAGCCGGAACCGCAATAACAGAACCAATCCTTACAACAATATCAGCAGCTGCATCAGTCATCTATTGTATCAGCGGATTAATTTTCATCCAGTTAAACACCACTTGAGGAGATTCCAATCTTACTTTTATGTATGTAATGTATGTATGTATTTATTAATGCCATCTTATATGTATGTATTTAACTGTAGTAAAAACAACATTTATGTATTAACCCCCTATGCGCTTTGCTACACCTTTTGACTTTATATTCATAAAATGTTATATACGAAAATTTTGTGGATTTTAAAATTTTATTAAAAAAGACAAGAAATAAATATTTTTAAGAGAAATTCTCTCTTATAGTTTCACTCACATCTTAAATGATATTTATTGTTTCCATTCTATTAATGTTCTCTTTATAACGGAAAACTTATCCGATTATAGTTCTATACAGAAACAATGCCCTCCGGGCGATCGTAGTGAACAAGTATTGAAAAGGCAAAAAATAAAATTTTGCTGATTTTGCAAAAAAAAAAAAAAACGTTGAACTGACTTATGTACTGAATTCTCAGACATTTTTTCAATGGAAACCGATAAAATCTCAACTAATAATTTTATAAATAACAGTTCCGAGTAATGGATGATACCCCCTATTTATATAAAAATTATAAAATTCCACATATTCAAAAACAGGAAATCAAAGCTCAGGTTGACAAAGTAATACAAGATGATATTATAGAGCCATCATTTTCATGTTACAACAGTCCGGTATTATTAGTCCCAAAGAAATCCCTTGCAGGTAACTAAGCAAAGAGATGGCGAATAGTTGTAGACTACAGACAAATTAATAAAGGTTAATAGCGGACAAATATCCCTTACCAAGAATCGAAGATATTCTAGACCAACTAGGTCGAGCAAAATGTTTTTCCTGTCTGGACCTAATGTCTGGATTTCATCAAATAGAATTAAAGAGGAGTCTAGGGATATAACTTCATTCTCCACGAATGAGGGATCATTTCGCTTTAAACGTCTCCCTCATGGAATCAAGGTTGGATGCTCAGAAAAACATATGATTCAAAATCTGCGGGATGTCTTCACTTCGTGCAGAAAATATAAACTGAAGCTGATAAGTGTATATTTTCCAGACATGAAGTAAACTTTTTGGGTCATAAATGCACTGACAAGGGAATTCTTCCCGATAACTCAAAATATGAAACCATCGAAACATATCCTACCCCAAAAGCGCGGACGAAACTAAAGGTTTGTTGCCTTTTGTAATTACTACAGAAGATATATACAGAATTTTGCAGATACTCCCTGCCATTAACAAAACTAACTAGGAAAAATGCAAAGTTTGTTTGGAGTGCCAAAAATGCTTTGAGTATTTAAATAATTCACTTTAACCCCAAGAATACTCCCTACCCCGATTTCAATAAACAATTTTGCATTACTTCCGATGAAAGTAAATATGCATGCGGTGCCATTCTAAGCCAAGAGGATAAGGGTGTACAATTACCCGTGGCATATGCATCAAGATCCTTTACCAAAGGTGAAAGTAACAAATCTGTAATTGAACAAGAACTCGCAGCAGTACATTGGGCAATAAAATACTTCAGACCTTACACATATGGTATAAAATTTTTGGTGAGAAGTGATCACCGTCCATTGACCTACTTGTTCTCTTTGAAGAATCCATCTTCAAAAGTAACCCGGATGAGATTGGATCTCGAAGAATATGACATTGAAATACAGTACATAAAAGGAAAGGACAACTGTGGAGCCGATGCCCTCTCCAGAATTGATTTTGACCATATTAAGTATATAAAGAGACTATATATGGTAACAACGTGTTCTAAATCAAAGAAAGACCAAACACAAAAACTAAAAAAATTAACAAGCGTGTTAGACATTCCTGGGGTCTACGAACCACTAAATGCGAAGGAGGTATAGAAAAGTGTTCGCCTAAAGAATTCCCTCTCTGGTACAACTCCAAAGTGTACCCTTAAATATGAGAGAAAAACTTTAGAAAATGTAAAGATTGATGACCTTATTGCTAATGGAAGCTTTGATCTAAGTCAATTCATTCCTAGGTTGGAGAAAATAACCAGTAATAAGGGAATATTCAAATTGCAACTCTCATTAAATGAGTTATTTAAGAAAATAACAATAGCGTTAACGCCAAAATTAGAGGGAATATCTGCTGACGAGCAGAAAAGAAAACTCCTACAAACGTATCATAATGACCCATTATACGAAGGTCACCCTGGCATCAAAAGAATGTCAGAAAGGCTCCGCACTAAATATCGTTGGAAAGGAATGTCTAAAGACATCAAAAACTATGTTAAAAATTGCAGTAAATGCCAATAGAACAAGTACCTTAAGAGGACGAAAGAACCCAGCAAGTCCCTTTGATATTCTCGTTATTGATACAATAGGTCCGTTTATTCAGTGAAACAGCGGTAACGAATACGCTTGTGACAATAATATGTGATCTCACCAAGTACCTGGTAACTATACCAGTACCCGATAAACGGCAAAAACTATAGCTACGGCAATATTTGAAAACTTTGTACATACATATGGATCAATGAGAAAAGTTTTAACTGACAGAGGAACTGAGAATAAAAACCAGACCCTCCAGGAACTTTTTAAAATGTTGGATGTGAAACATGCCCCTCGACAGCATACCACCATCAAACAGTTGGATCCATAGAAAGGTCATATAGGACATTTAATAAATATATTCGTTCTTATGTGTCATTGGAACGAACGGATTTGGGCAACTGGCTTAAATATTTTACATACTGTTTTAATACTACTTCATTAACTGTCCATGGTTATTGTCCGTATGAATTGGGTTCGGCAAAATTCCGACTACCATTGATTCTCTTGACCTAAGCACTGTAGATCCACTTTATAATGTTGACTCTTATGAAAAAGAAGTGAAGTACAGACTCCAAATGGCAAGACACCGAGCAGCCAAAATGATTACTCAATCAAAATTCTCCAATAAATTACAATATGACAAAACGGCCAATCATTTACACGTACAAATTGGAGATTTAGTACTAGTAGAGAATAATGGCGGCCATAAATTGGAACAATTATTCAAAGGCCCCTACTCTGTCGAAATATATCGATTCTAATGGGAATTGCTCACTGTCATTGTCGGACAGAAAAAGTATTGAAATACATAAAAACTGTTTAAAATTGTTCAATACATTAAGCAATAACTTGAATAAAGAACAAAAATATTAAAAATACTATTTTTTTAACTGCCTCTTAAATATAACTCTGCCTCTAAATATACGTACGTATAAATTTAGCATATACATACAATAAATTATAATACTTACATAAAACATAGATAACTGGCTAGTACCTATGAAAATATAATAATATAATATATAGTAATAATATATATAAACATACTTTGATCTAAATCCACTTTAGAGCATTTAACTTTTCAATTCGACTTAGTAAACTAATATATAAGAATACATCTATTAAATAATAAGAAATAGGTATTTATGTAAAAAAAATGAAAAAAACATATTAAATCACTTAAAGTAAAATTTAAGCCAGACAACACAATTATATATATTTACATAAAACACTATTTGATTTTTACTAACCATAAATTATATTTTAAAAATATCGCTTAAGTCAAAAAATCTATTTTTCGTTATTCTCATATAATATTGTGAACGTATTTAACAAGTAACGTTAATATATTTGTAAGCATTAGTCTCTATACAAAAGGAAAAATATGAGTAATTTGTAAACATTAACTATATTTTAAAAATAATCAGAACTAACTAACTTTAAATGAAGCCAGCACTGACTGTTAATTGTAAATTTATATGAATAAAATTCATGAATTATAAAATTTAATGAATTAAATTCAACTAAGAATAATCAATTTAAACCGTTGATTATTCTTTGTTAAAAAGGGAGGCATATCTTCTGTTTCCAACTAATAGTATGCTTTTACTCATGTTACAATACCTTCAGTATGTAACTTTACACACTCACTTTATTGAGGTGTGTTGTCCGCACTACTCCGAGATAGTAAGCATGCATTGTCCTTACTAAGCGTTTCCCACGCTCACTTTATTTTTCATTTAGCTTAAGTTAATTTTTGTAAGATAATATTAGTTCAGTTTTAATTTGAATAAAGTAAGGTGAAATCGCATTTAGCGGCTTCCCCAATAAACCCAAAGAGTTTCATTTCAAAACCATGGTAATGAACTGTGTAACCCATGGTATAATTATTACAGGTAGCATCAAGCCTCAGCTGATTTGACTCTATAGTAATACTATTGTCAAACTCGATATAACGTTTTGTGATTAAATTCCATTTCTTGATATACAATAGGTATACACTTTTTTATATAAAATTTCACTGCTGGACAATGTGAACCTATTTTTTTCCTAATAATAGAAAAAATCTCCTTTGTACTTAACAAAACGCCAATGGCGATGGTGCGCTTAAGGAACAACGACATAACATTATATAATCTAGTAGTATATTTTATGTTTCCTAAAATTGCAAAATGTAGAATGCTTCATTTATGTTTGCAGTTAGGTTTCAATTTGAACGGGTTGTTGCCATGATCGTATCATACTACAAAAAGCAAAAAGGAATATTAGGGAGGCTTTCATATATATTAAATAACAAATACTTACCTCAAAACACTAAACCACTTCTATATAAAGTAGTGGTTCACTATATCTCCAATTGTGGCCAATGAATTAGAAGTCTTCAAAAGAAAAGTTTTAAAGAAATGTGTTCATAAACACTATATAAATGAGGAAAAAACATTCGAACACTTACATTTACAATACAGCTGGTATTGTCCCTCTGTGTAAATACGCTCAAAATCTTCAATCAAAATTTGTTGAGAAACTTGAACATCACGAAAATCACCTTATACACGAAAACTATCATTCAGAAAACAGCATATATTTGAGAGATACTTCTTCCTATCCCCGGTTGGAATTGCAAATGAATCCCCCGCTATAGATTCGTAAAGCTACAATCAACCAATTAACATTCTATATCAATTAAATACTTACCATATTGTTGCTCCACTGAGCACTCGATTAATTTACATTAAATGCTCACCAGCGATATTTTGATATTTTTTTAACTTTTAACTGGAACGAATCTATCAATTTCTCGTTGTTATTCAGTTTTTAATCTTTGTTCTTATCCTAATATTTATTACCATTCAGACATCATCGCCCTGTTCGTAATTGCTGAGACCGCGAGTAAGTCTCATTCTCTTTGCATTGCTCTCTTTTGTTTTTTATTAACATTATACCTCATCCCGTTCGCACGTAGCATATCGATACACAATCATTCTAAGTTAGAACAAGGCAATAGTAGTTCTATGATTATATGTTAATCACTCACATTAAATGTCAACATTATCAAAGATAAGAAGAAGACTCAATAAGAAGAAGACTCAATACAAAGTAAATTTTACAGTGACGAAGAGTTTTCTTGACCAGTGACTTTAATCCAAATATCGATAACTCGGACCTATTATTCGAGTCATCAACTGATTTGCACCATGCAAAGTGAGTTTATGAACAAAGTCCACCAACAACTGGTTAAAAATTGCTCCATGTGGCAAAATTGTACGAATCTTCCATTGGTCTAAGGTCAAAAGTGAAATTGTTGATGAAATTCGTGTATTTTTCTTCAATGCTTCATATTCGATCTTATAGAAGAACCTCTGAGTCTGTATTATGCTTGCTCGTTTTCCATCTTGAATTTTGGCAGCTGTAAGCTCGGTGACGTCATCCTAAGTTGTCTGTTTGATCCAGTGTTTTTCCTGAACCTCAAAGCATATGCGTATGAACGATAAACTTCGGCTAACGATTAGAAATTCTTTAGAGGGTCATCTTTTTCCTCAAACAGCGTAAGAGTTTTGACTGCTTTTGCCTCTAAATTAGTATCGCTTTCAATTGGATTTGATGGCCAACGGTCCTTGGGCAATGTGAGTCAGTGTGGTCCATGGCACCAGAGTTGTTGACTATGCAATTCGAGAGGTGAACATCCTCGGCTGGCTATATCAGCTGGATTGTTTTCAGAGTCACTGTGCCTACAGTTCTCTTGACCCACGCCCTCAGAAATCTCCAAAACTCTGTTTCCCACAAATGTGCTCCAATGACAAGGTGGCTTTTTTAATCAAGCCAACACAATCCTGGAATCTGCCCAAAACTGAGTCGTATAGTGAGAAACTTGTAGATTATTATTTATTATCGATACTGCCAGTTTGGACAACAGAACTGCACCACATTATTCCAGTCTAGGAATAGTGAGTTTTTTGACCGGAGCTACACGGGTCTTTGCAGCTAACAAGAATGTATGTGCGCTTTTGTCAGTATTTTCGACTCGAATGTATATTGCTGCTCCATATGCGTTTTGCGAAGCATAACAAAAGACATGAATTTCTACCGAACTGTCTGAGGTGTATTAAATCCATCTTGGTACTTATGTTTTCTATATTTTGGCTATTTTTCACGTTACATCCCAATCAATTGTCCAGCCAGATTTGCTGCATTATCAGCTTTGCTACAACCAGCACTGACGCCAGACATCCAGAAGAGTCAAATAATTTGGCTACTCTTGATAGGACTTCTCTTTTTGTATATTTTTCTTGATTTTCCATTTGTGGTGGCGTAAAAGAGAAAAAAAATAAATTTATTTATAAATATCTTTGATTACATTGTGTTCATTTGAGGCCCATTTCATTAGAGTAAAATATAAATTATTCAATATTATATCCGCTGCTCTAGGGTGAGAATCTTTAACATCCTCTGCTAACTTAATGAGAGTTCTCAATGCCAAAATACGTTGTGCAATTTACTCCAAAGGTCACTGTTAGCAATTCGTAATCCTCTACAGGGTCTGATGGTGATTTCCTAAATAAAATCCTTTGATATTTTATTTGCCTTACGTCTAAAGCGTTGTAATAAGATCTGGTTTTATAACTGCGTGATGAGGCAAATAATAACTGCGTGATGTGGCAAATAATAATAATGAGTATATCGTTAATTTCATTTAGTTTAATATTCCTCATATGGCCAAATCGAGGTAATCGAGTATCGAATTGTCCTACTGTTCCTTGATATCTGGTGTTTTCATAAGTTTCCTCTCTATTCGATAGAATCGAGCTAAATCAATCGAGCTAAATCAATATCCCCAATTCCTCGCATTTTTAAATGGATCTTCCATCCTTGTTCCGTATTGTTGTATCAATAAAATTTCGTTTCGCAATATTGGGCTTCTTCTGACCGTAAAACCTTTTTGGGGGCCTCTTCCAACTGCCAAAAACTTGTAAGTATTTTCTCAATATATGTTGTATTTAACAATGCAATTTGTTTTGGTTTGATAGCATTTCCAGGTATGGGTTCTTCAACAATCCATCCAAATTTTGTACTTTGAGTTAAAATTGATCCATAAGTTTTCATTGGAATCCCAAGCGTAAATATCAAAGGTCCTATATCCATACCGATGAGTAAATCAATTGGTTGACTAATGTAGAATTTCGGATCAGCAAGTTCCAATGATGTTAAATCTCTAAGTTGTGATTTGTGGTGGTAGATTTGATGGTAAGTTATTTAAATCTGGAGCCCAAACTTCCAGTTTAAAGCTAGGATCGAATTTGGATCGTAAGATAAACATACAAGATTTCGCTGAAACGAAATTGACTTAAGCCAGCAACATGAACTAAGCTGTTCTTTGTTGGTAACTTCAGAAGATTTTTAAGTTTTTCCGAAATAAATGTTGATTGTGATCAAGAGTCTATGAGCGCTCTGGCATCGTAAAGTTGTCCTCCGGTTTCTATCTGCACTATGGCTGTAGAGAATAGCGTACCTCCAGATATTTGCTGACTAATTTGCTAAAAGCTGTGACTGTAGCTGGTTCTAGGTTTGGTGTGAACTGTATTTACTTTGTTTGAGCGGCGGCACTTGTTCCACTCGAGCTAGGTATGTATTTGTAGATTGAGTTTCCTTTCCCTTATGTAACATTGTATGATGTCTCATTTTGCAAGTTCGTCATCCAAATTGACTTTTACAATCCCTTACACCATGGTGCGCTGACAAGCAGTTATAGCATGAATGAGATGTTTTCACGTTATGAATTCTATCATTTACATTTTTTCTTAAAAACTCCGTGCAATCTCTGACAAAGTGATTAGCCTTGCACACTTGGCATGTTTAGGCATTTTGTGTATTGTTCTTTTTACGGTTCTGTTGTTGATGCTGCTGCTCCCAAAATTTTCGTATTCTTTGTGACATTTGTTTGAAATGTATTCGAAAATCTTGGTTTGTTGTAAGTGGGTTGTTTCTGCTGAGAAAATTTCGAAGTCGTAGGCTTTATACTTCCAACGGATTCTATTGTTTTGAATTTTTTCGTTAAAAATGTGTCGAATCGTTTCATTCAAGTAGTAGTTTACAATTGCTTAGTGATTTCTCGAATTCCTCTAGAAAATTTCTTGGTAATTTTGAAGAGCAAATGTATATTAGAAGCAGATGCCATCCTTTGACATCGACTTCTAGCAATTCCATGGTCTGTATACAGCTGTTGACAGTTCGTTGTAATGTTTGTATTGAATGTCTCCAGGTATATTAAAAAGTGTTTTTATCTCCTCATTTACTTGCATCCGTCTATTTTCATACCTATCAGTAAGATTTTTCCATGCAAGTTCAAATCCATCATTGGTCAATCATTTCAAGTGAGGTATTTTTTCTACGGTGCTTAGCCTTGGTCCTTTTATATAAATTGCCGTAAATAAGTCTCTAAATGTGGGCCATTCTCGATATCTTCCTTTAAAGGTGTCCGTATCGCGTGGTGGTAAGCGAGATACGGGAGCAAAATCCATATCCTTTCCCTGTTGTGTCATCAATGACTCCCGTTTTGTTTGTTCCAACATCTGTTTTTCTCCAACATTCTGTAATTGAATGTTGACGGCACTTAAAGTCGACTTGTTTTTAACAATAACCTTTTCTCCTTCCTCTGCTTCATGCTCTCTGCAATCGATATAAGCCCTCCTTACTTGACTCCAATTTGAATTCAATTCCAAACGTGTAGTTTCCAAAGTGACCTCAGTATCCTCTGGGTTGGTAATTGAAAAAATCGAAATAAAATCCAAGAAGTCGTTGACGCTGTTATCGAATTTGTCGGAAAATTTTTTTGTCCATCTTCTTAGTTGTGCGAGAAACCTTTAAAAAATTTGGTTTATTGTCCAAAATCTAAAAGAAGCCCAACGAGAAGGACTTACTCTGTTTAGAAATCAAGTTTTCCTCAACTTTTTCTGGTTCAAAAGCGAGGAAAGTATCTTTCTTTAAATTTGCAACGAATTGCCCATTGGCAACTTTTTGTGGTTCAAAGCGAGAAAGTACCTTTCTTTAAAATTTGCAACAAATTGCCTATTGGATCAATATTTCCAAAACTACTGAGAAAATTTGGAAAAATATTAATTTTGAACGCTTCGACTGTTATGCAGTTTTTCAATCCAAAATCTGGAGAATTTTTTTTTTATTTCAAAATTCGTCCTTAATCTTATTTGAATATAGTTGGATGAGCCAAATGTCAACTGTAAGAAGCTTTATCCAATTATAAATGAGAAAAAATATCCAGCTTCAAGGAAAACAAATGAAAGGAAAATATGTACAAAAAAAAAAAATCAGTGAAATTGTATAGAAAATGAGTCAAAAAGTGCGATGTATGCCAAAGTAGAAAATGTTTACTGGGTTGTCGTAAAATTCCGAAAAATGCAAATCCCAAAATGGTATAAAGTCTCTTACGATATCCATTTTTAGGAGGCTTTTATGGCTTTTCTAATTTAAACTTTTCTCCAAAAGTGAGATTCTTTAAAGTAGGGTCTGAAGATTTCTCTAAAGCGACAAATATTCAAAGTACGCTATAATTTTATTCAGCAACGATAGAGAAAAATAATTTTTGTCAAAATCCCAGATATTGTTTCCAAAAAGTTCTCAAATGTAAAAAAATCCAAAAATATTCCAAAAATGAAAAATTTCTGGGTCAAAAACAGCCTTTTCATCAAAACGAATTAAAAAGTTGCATGATTCCCAAAATGATTGCAAAAATTTTAGATCAAAGAAAGATAAAACAAAAAACTTTAAAAATTATAGAAATTAATTAAATTAATTAAAAAATATATGAAGATAATATTGTTAATTAAATTCCATCCGTCCACCAGACGCTGATAAAAAATGTTTCAAAAATGTTGATTTTGTCAGTCCATC